GGGCTCAGGCAATCCACTCCCCTCAGCCTCCCAAAGCGCGGGATTACAGGCTGAGCCACCAAGCCTGGCTACCTCTCTAGGCTTAACAAGAGGGCAGCAACTTGCTTCTCAACTAGAAAAGAGCCTCATGCATACAGAATGCCAAGAGCTGGCTGGTAGCCATTGGGGGCAGGACAAGCTACCCTGTGTCTGGAACAAGACTGCCTCTGCCACTTCCCAAGTTACTTAGCTTCTCCGAGTAATCAATGAATAAATGAGCCAAAAAAAAAGTACTTGGAGCAGAGGGAAATACAAACCGGGCCAAGTAGTATTTCAGCCCAATCTTTAGTCCACAGGCCCAAGACTCTCAACCGAGACCTTCCATGACTTTTTTTTTTTTTTTTTTTGAGTTGGAGTCTCACTCTGTCGCCCAGACTGGAGTGCAGTGGCCGCTCTTGGCCACCGCAGCCTCGAGCCGCTGGGCTCCGGCGATCCTTCCGCCTCAGCCTTCCGAGTAGCCGGAAGTACAGGCGCGCGCTACGACGCCCGCCTGATTTTTGATTTATTGTAGAGATGAGGTCTCGCCAAGTTGCCAGGGCTGGTCTCGAACCTGCGGGCTCAGGCCATCCACTCACCTCGGCCTCCCAAGGCGCGGGATTACAGGTTGAGCCGCCGAGCCCGGCTTCCATGACTTCTGAATGCCAGGTCTCCCTTCATTTCTGCCGGGCACCCTCAGGAACTGGTGTAAGAAGGTTGCTGGGTGACTACCATACCCAAGGGCCCACCCTCCCTCCAGCGCCATGCTTGTGTTCTGCTACCTGCAAAAACGTCACCATCTCATTGGAACAGGCCTCCAGGTTAATCCTCCGCACAGTCACATATTCACCTATTGGCTTGTACCTTGCCAGGTTCACTGTCATCAGGTCCTCAAATCCTTTGCCTGAAAGGAAAGAGGAATGCCATAAACAAAGACAAGGACAACACAGGCTTTTGTCTTCCTTAAACACGTGGACTTGGCTGGGCTCGATGGTTCAGCTTGTAATCCCAGCACTTTGGGAGGCTGAGGCGAGTGGATTGTCTGAGCCCGTGGGTTCGAGACCAGCCTGGGCAACTTGGCGAGACCTCATTTCTACAATAAATAAAAATTTAAGTTGGGCGTGGCGGCTTAGCCTGTAATCTTAGCACTTTGGGAGGTCAAGGCGAGAGGACTGCCTGAGCCCAGGGGTTCGAGAGCATGCCACTGCACTCCAGCCTGGGCGACAAGAGTGAGACTCCAACTCAAAAAAATAAATAAAGTAAATTAGCCGAGCGTGGTAGCGCATACCTGTATTTCTGGCTACTTGGAAGACTGAGGTGGAAGGATCGCCTGAGCCCTACAGGTTGACGTCAGGGCGGCCGTGAGTGTGCCACTGCACTCCAGAGACTGGGCGACAGAGTGAGACTCCAACTCCAAAAAAAAAGAAGAAAGTCCACCTTTTTTTCCCAATTTATTTATTGTAGAGATGAGGTCCCACCAAGTTACCCAGGCTGGTCTCGAAGCCCTGGGCTCAGGCAATCTTCTCGCCTCAGCCTCTCAAAATGCTGTGATTACAGGCTTGAGCCACTGCACCTGGCCCTGGACTTGCTTTTTTTTTTTTGAGTTGGAGTCTCACTTTGTCGCCCAGACTGGAGGGCAGTGGCTGCTCCCGGCCACCGCAGCCTTGACCTGCTGGGCTCCGGCGATTCTCCCGCCTCAGCCTTCCAAATGGCTGGAACTACAGGTGCGCACTACCACGTCCGGCTAATTTTTTGATTTATTGTAGAGATGAGGGCTCACCAAGTTGCCCAGGCGGGTCTCAAACCCGCGAGCTCAGGCAATCCAGGACTTGCTTTCAAAAGAAAATCCAAGTCAAAATGTTTGCTCCTGTTGCTTTCATGGCTGACGTTTCTTGATTTTTCTTCAACCAGGTCCTTCTCAGTCGATCATTCCCACTGACGGTGGCCCAGGGCACCAGAAGTACACAGCCACAAAGAAAACATGGCAGAAGAAAACAACAAATGCCAGTTTGGTCGCCATGAATCTGCCTAACTAGCTGGCGGTCCTTGATGCCCATCCATCTGGGATCTGGGGATGCTGACAGTACCTATGGACATTACCTATGATGGTGAGTAGCTCGTAACACCCTCTCTCTGGCAGAAAGCTACTCATGACCTCTGGTTTAGAGAAGGATGCTATCGACTCTGAGCTTTCCTCATTGGTCTAAAGAAAAAGAAAAAGAGGTTAATGGAGAAAACTGGGGGTGGGATGGGCATGGGTAGAGGCGGCAATTCAGATCCACGAGGAGACTGGCATCCAAACACACACACATCCTGACTCTGGGCATAGACACAGTGCCAGCACGTGAAGAGACACAGAACCTCACATGCTCAATGTGGTGATGAGCACAACACCAGAGCAGATCCTTATAAGGACCCGTTCCAGTCAACTGCTCATCTGCTTATTTTTCCAACCACTGGCTCATTTGTTAGAAATGATCAAACTGTTGCTTGGGAAAGGACGTCCAGGGAAGAAAGGCACATTTAAAAATGGGAAGGAAGCCGGGCACGGTGGCTCACATCTGTCATCCCAGCACTTTGGGAGGCCGAGGCGAGAGGAATGCCTGTGTCCAGGGGTTCGAGACCAGCCTGGGCAACTTGGTGAAACCTCATCTCTACAGTTAATCAAAAAATTAGCCAGGCATGGTAGCATGTGCCTGTGACTCCAGCTACTTGGAAAGCTGAAGCAAGAGGATTGCCTGGGCCTAGCAGATTGAGGCTGGGGTAACCATGAGCCAGCCACTGCACTACAGCCTGGGCGACGGGGGGAGACTCCAACTCAAAAAAAAGGGGGGGGAAGGAGATGGAGAGGCAGCTGCTCCTGAATCTCCTGCTCGGCATTCCGGTGTGCTGTGCTATTTTATTATTTTTTAGTTGGAGTCTCACTCTGTCGGCTGTGCTATTTTTAAGGTGTAAACTGCGAGACCCCAAAAGGCCAACCACTGAGTCTTTCTCTAGGGAAAATGCAGCCAGAGGTAGTCCCAGGTTGAGTGAACCAAGAGCCCAGGTCAGTCATGGCCTGACACTACCAAATGATGCTCTGGGCTGTTGCCAGAGACACAGCTGTCAGGTCTCAGGCAACTTCAGGTAGCAGAGATGGCCTGCTCCCTCATTCGTCCCTGTTCACTTGTGCCCACGAAGGGAGCTAGAGCTCAGCCATTTAGGATGCGAGGGTCACATCTCTGACCCTTGAGGTCTCCAAGAAAAGTGTCCAGCAACATCTGGATGTTGAAAGCTAAACACAGGGCAGACCAACGGCTTTTCTGGCAGCTTGAGGGGCCTGTCTCCTCCTCCTAGTCCTACGCTTATCTGCATGATTTAGGGGCTATATTTTCCTCTCTGTGGATGTGTGTCTGACTGAAACGGAACCCTCAGGCCAGCTCGCTCGCGTTTCACAGGCTCCTGGGCCTGGCTCCTCGCGGAAGAGGCTCTCTGGGCCTGGCTCAGCACCAGCCAGAGAAATGAGCCAGGGCCAGGAAGCGGCTCTGCAGAGGAACCCATGAAAACAGCACTCTCTTCGCTCGCCCTTCCCAGAGCCCTTCCACACCGCAGGGGACCTGCCCCCAGCTGTGTGGTTCACAGGCCAGACAACACCTCCAGTTTTCAGTAACAAAAATGAAGGCCAGGGAGATTAATTGCCTTGCCAGAGGTCAAAATGTGAGTACACGGCACAGACAGGAACCAAGCCCAAGCCAGTGAAAGCAATACACCACCTTGCTGTTGATGTTTCCAGGGCATCTGATCTCAAAAGAGCTGACCTGGCAGGGCGTGGTGGTTCATGCCTGTCATCCCAGCACATTGAGAGGCAGAGGAGAGAGGACTGCCTGAGCCCAGGGGATCAAGACCAGCCCGGGCAACTTGGCGAGACCTTGTCTCTACAATAAGTCAAAAAATTCATCGAGCATGCTGGCTCATGCCCTTATTTCCAACTACCTGGAAGGCTGAGGCAGAAGGATCACCTGAGCCCAGCAGGTTGAGGCTGCAGTGGCCTCTGCACTCCAGCCTGGACGACAGAGTGAGACTCTGCCTCAAAAATACATTAAAAAAAAAAAAAATTTAAAACAATACAAACAACAACAAAACAGCTGACGCTGCCCGTGAGGAAAGAAGCCAAGAGGAGCTTGTCTCCCTTACACTCACCCTGAGAAAAACAGCACCCTTGTCACACTAAATCAAGCCCTACCAACAACCAGATTGCATCTCTCTTTTTTTTTTTTTTTTTTTTGAGTTGGGGTCTCCTGCCGCCCAGGCTGGAGTGCAGTGGCAGCTCATGGCCACCCAGCCTTGACCTACTGGGCTCAGCATCAGCCAGTTCCTCGGGAGACGGGTTCAGCAGGATAACCAATTCTGAGAATGCCAGCCTTACGCCACACACTCGTGAGACTTCCCTATGACTAGGGCACTCTGTGGATCAGAATCTCATTCCTATGTGTGAGAAAGTCCTGCATTTTAGCAGGTAACAGTGTGGCTTCAATGAGAAGCACCTTCTTTGTATTTGAAGGTCTTCTCTCCTCTGATGTCCGCGCAAACTCCTTAAAGTTTTTTGGGATTTCTTGAGTTGGAGTCTAACTCTGTCACCCAGGTTGGAGTGCAGTGGATGCTCCCAGTCACCGCAGCCTTGACCTGCTGGGCTCAGGCGATCCTTCTGCTTCAGGATTCCAAGTAGCTAGAACCACAGGCATGTGCCACCATGCTTGGCTCATTTTTTTATTTACTGTAGAGTCAAGGTCTCACCATGTGGCCCAGGCTGGTCTTGAACCCCTGAGCTCAGGCAACCCTCTCGCCTCCGCTTCCCAAAGTGCAGAGATGACAGGTGTGAGCCCCTATGCCTGGAGGGTTTTTCTAATTTGAGAAAGACACTGAAGGACCACTGAGTCCTGAGGTGAATGTCTTTCTTATTTTTTTTTTTTTTTTTGAGTTGGAGTCTTACTCTGTCACTCAGGCTGGGATGCGGTAGCACACTCATAGCTAACCTCAGCCTTGACCTGCTGGGATCAGGCAATCCATCCGCCTCAGACTTCCAAGTAGCTGGAACTAGAGGTGCATGCCATCACGCCCGGCTAATTTTTTGATTTATTGTAGAGATGAGGTCTTGCCAAGTTGCCCCTGTTGGTCTTGAGCCCGTGGACTCAGGCAATCCCCTCACTTAAGCCTCCCAAAGTGCTGGGATTATAGGTGTGAGCCACCGAGCCTGGCCTCTTACTTGCACTTTAAATAACTTCCTTTGGAAAAACTCCAGATAGATATGCTTTTGTTGCTGTTACTTATGTCCCTCTTCCTTGCCAGGAGTACATATAATCTGCAGCGTTTTATACAAGACGCTATACTAGTCTGTATACTAAGATCCATCCTTGTTGAGCCAAGGTAGGGAATGATTCATTAAACTATGGATGTGCTAGTTAGTATCCAAATTATTTCTGCAGAAAATTACTAAAACTAACTTGCAAGTATTAGTTTAGAAAATAAGAATCTTTAGGCACTTGTGAATAAGACTTTGGGGTAATCCAGAATTGCATGAAATGAAGTCGAGTGACAATAACTCTGGCCCTAACTCACTGCAAATGGCCCTAAAATAGAGGCCATCTACTTTGTGGATGTTGGATAGGTATGAACTGAGAGAGACACTGACCTTTATTTAGAAAAACAAATAAACCAGGAAACAAATGCAATATTTTGAAAGGAAGAGGTCTGGTCTGACACTGCTGTAAGAAAGGCAGGTTAGTTTGTTATATTGTTTTAGACTTAAGACAGGTCTAAATTCAGATGAAAAGAATCGACATATTTAGCTAATTCATTTTAAACTCAGCATGGCATAGTTTGATTAATGTATAATTTCAAATTGCTCAAAGAACGGAACTAATTCTGTCAAAGTCTCTTCTTCATTTCCCCACCGTGAAAAGCATTTTATTTATTTGAAGAAACGTATAAACTGCTGATATCCAGCAATGACCATAAGATGATAACTTTGCTTAAAGAGTTTAAAACAAAATACAATAAAGCACACACAGACAATACTTATGAAATGCTACCAAGTACATTCAACTTTTCATTGGTTTCACACAGGATAATTTTTGATATATCATCAGCAGCTGTAGAAATATAAAAATGATATATAGTTGGCACTGTATTCTAAAAATACCTAACTGATCCTAGGGAACTTTTTGGGTCTCCTGATTAGACAATATGTAGACCTGATAAGGAGGTGCTCCTGATTAGCAGACTACATGAGCATAGTCAAAGAAATTTCTAGTCAACATCATCATCCTTCACTCAACCTTGGAGCTGACCTCAAAAGGTGCAAATGTCTATAATCTCAACAGAGTCAAAAGGTTATCGTCTCTCCTCATAAGACACGATTCATATTTTTCAAAATCGCTGGGTACATTGTGTGCATCTGGTGCTATTTATTTAGGCAAGATAAACTAGAAGAGAGGAAGTGGGCAAGAACCCTGCAGCTTTTGCCAATGAAAAAAGTCAGTGTTCTGTTCTGAACTTTTAAATTTTGGTTTGTTTTTAAAGCAGGGAATTTGAGGTTTTGCCTTCTTATCTAGACAGAGATCTATGGGGGGGACCAAAAACACCCACATTTATTAAAAATTGGGTATTGGGTAACCCCTTCAGGTCCCCTCCCACTGTGGGAGCTTTTCTGTCCTCTCAATAAATACTGCTTTTAAAAAAAAATTGTGTATTTATTCTTTTTTTTTTTTTTTTTTGAGTCGGAGTCTGACTCTGTCGCCCAGACTGGAGTACAGTAGCCGCTCCCAGCCACCGCAGCCTCGAGCCGCTGGGCTCCAACAATCCTTCTGCCTCAGCCTTCCAAGTGGCTGGAACTACAGGCACGCACTACCACACCCAGCTAAGTTTTTGATTTACTGTAGAAATGAGGTCTCACCAAGTTGCCCAGGCGGGTCTCGAACCCGTGGACTCAGGCAATTCACTCACCTCGGCCTCCCAAGGCGCGAGATTACAGGCTGAGCCACCAAGCCTGGCTTGTGTATTTATTCTTACGTGCTTAAACTTCAGTTACCCTCAAAGTACTCTCTGATGCAATATACCTATCAAGTCGTATTCCCATTGCTCAGTTTTTTTTCTTTTTCTTTTGAGTTGGAGTCTCACTCCATCATCCAGGCTGAATTGCAGTGGCACACTCATGGCCACCCCAGCGTCGCCCTGCTGGGCTCTGGCAATCCTTCCACCTCAGCCTTCCAAGTAGCTGGAACTACAGGCGCACGCTACCATGCCCGGCTGATTTTTTTATTTTTTTATTGTAGAGATGAAGTCTCGCCAAGTTGCCCAGGCTGATCTCGAACCTGCGGGCTCAGGCAATCCACTCGCCTGGGCCTCCCAAAATGCTGGGATTACAGGTTGAGCCACCAAGCCTGGCCCAACACAGTTTTTGAACTCATTGATTTTGATGGCTTTTTGTGCTTCTGCTGCTTTTTTGTTTCACCTCTTTCATGTGGGCAAAACATTTCCCTCTGAGGACTTTTTCATCGGAGAAACAAAAAAGTCACTCAGGGTGAGACGGGGCATTCACGCATCTGTTCAGGGAGGGTGGGGCACAGGGGTCATGCTGTTTTTGGTCAAAAACTGCCAACACTCAGCACTGGAACAGGCGCTTGTAAATTGCCCATCACAAAATAGGCAAACGCGTTGAAAGAATCTCCAAAAAAAGAAACATTCACTGAAGCTGAACGCATCCTCTCACAACAACGCTAGCTGGTACACTGATGCCAGTGGGTCCCTAGAACACTCATCTAGTGGGAGAAGCCTGTGCAACACTGGGCCCGTCTTCCAAAAGATAATTCCCTTTTTTGGGAAGGGGGGTCCCCTCTCTTATATTATCCCTGTGGACTGAAGTACTATTACTAGACTAAGTATGGAAAATTTAATACCAGCAGCCACTAAAAGATAACCACATTTCAGGTGGTTGGAACTTTTTTCAGGGATAGGACAGTGGGTGACTGGCAGGATTTGAAGGGGAGGAGACCCTAGTCCCCAGAAGAGATGAAAAGTTCTTGAGACTTTTTTCGGTTTTCAAATTACACATCAAAATCTTTCCAGGGTGAAACCTGAATCTCCACAAGTAAAAAGAAGTTACATGATGAAAAAAGCCCAATGACAGGCAAGCAGAAACAGAAAGTGACAAGGCAACGAAACACACAAAATTCCACAAGAAGGCATCTCCATGCAACAGCCACAGTCTAGGGCCTAGGAAGTCACTTACTTTTCTCCGAGTGTCACCCGGAGGCTGCTCTGGAGTAGAGAAATTGATTGTTGGCATTTTGTTTTTTAGAAGAATACACATCCACATTTAGAACAGCAATTATTGCACTTGGAACCACATTTATTAACAGTAACCACTTGAGAGTCATTACCGTAAAAGCGCCTGCAGGGCTACATATAAACATACACACACACCCCCACCCACAGATCCACAGTAAAAATGCTGCACAGACAAGGCTTTCAACACAGACCAATGGTTCTTCAACACTGGGTGGGGTTACTGCTCTATGGGAATTCTTTACTGGCTGTAATTCCACTGCTACAGCTCTGATCGTACCTTTCCTTGCCATCAGTACACAATGTTGTTTTGAATAGGCTGGTTTCTGAGTCTTATACTTTGTAAACAAACAATTCACTATGAGGTTATAGAGATCGTTGGCCATTTCACAGTGAGTACAGGACTAAAAACAGGTTTTTTTGAGTTTGAGTCTCTCTCTGCTACCCAGGCTGGAGTGCAGTGGCACACTCATGGCCACCCCAGCGTCGACTTACTGGGCTCCGGTGATCCTTCCGTCTCAGACTTCCAAGTAGCCAGAACTATAGGCGTGCACTACCCCACCCGGCTAATTTTTGATTTATTGTAGAGACGAGGTCTCGCCAAGTTGCCTGGGCTGGTCTCAAACCCACAGGCTCAGGCAATCCACTCGCCTCGGCCTCCCAAAGCGCTGGGATTACAGGCTGAGCCACCAAACCCGGCCTTCTAACTATCTTAACTTATACATTTCTCAGTATCTTAAGCTACATAAAATCCGAAGAGTGAGTCTAGTCATCAAGGAAAATGCTTCCTCCTAAGACACATGAGAGCATCCAACTGCACTGCTAGAGGAGATTAGACTCAATTTATCAAATGCCAAGAGCAGTTGCTTAAGACAGTCCTTCAAAGGAAAGCAGCCAGCTGAATGAATTAAAGGAAATCTAACCCAGTCTTCCAGAGTAGAAGGCAAATTTCAAGCTGTATAAAACTCGGCAATACGAACTTCATCAAGCTGTAACGAGAGACAGAATAATCTCTCCAGCCTCCAGCCCCTTCAGATCAGAGCGCTGTCAAAAGACAGCCAGGGAGCCTGAAACCAGAGCCCAAATCAATTCCATTTACATATACTGGAGTATTTGCAACTAATTTATTGTAAACTGGACTTCCAAATAAATGTCCATTGATGCCAGTAATGTTAACTTTTTGTAAGAGACAAGGTCTCACTATCTTGCCCAGGCTACACTCAAGTGATTTTCCTGCTTCAGCCTCCCCAGTAGCTGGACTACAGTAGCCCACTACCACACCTGACTCAGTATTTACTTTTAAACCATTTTGTTCCCATTAATGATGAGAAGGTAATGAGAACAGGACCAGAACATGGTTTAGCCTAATTTAGCCATTCTTTTTTTTTAGGGACAGGGTCTTGCTCTGTTGCCCAGACTGGAGTGCAGTGACGTGATCACAGTTCATGATCATGGACTCAAATGACCCTTCCACCTCAGCCTCCCTAGTAGCTGGGACTACAGGTGTGCACCACCCATGCCTGGATAATTTTTTAATTTTCTGTAGAGATGGGTCATATTATATTACCCAGACTAGTCTTGAATTCCAGGCTTCAAGTGATCCTCCTGCCTCAGCCTCCCATAGTAGTACTGGGATTACAGGCATGAACTACTGCACCTGGCCCCATAAAACTTTCCTTTACTGTGTAAGTAATTTTTATTCTTTATAACTAAAATAAATAGAACTCACCATTTTTCTAAACTCCCATTTGTCTAAAACATCATGCTTTGATAAAGTTCACAAATAATGCAACTCCAGAAGTTATTTGAGATTCACTGCGGAAAAAAATTAATAGTTGCCACCTAGTAACTAACGAATTTGAGTTTTCAGTTACTTAAACCTACTTGGGGTATTGTGGGCCAGTCAACCAATGCACTCAATCTGATAACCTGTTTCTTAAGCTATAGGATCCTAAAAGAATGTCTTGCGATTCAGGAAGAATGGAGCTCCAGTACTATCATTTTTGTTGAAAACATTTTTTTTTTTTTGCTCTAAATGAAGTTCACAGTTTCCAACAATGCTCACTTTGAAAATGGCCAAAGAGGAACGCTTGGGCCTAGTAAACTTCAAAGTTTACTTCTGAAGCCAACATTTAGATTTTATAAGAGGAAGTCAATATTTTTGCCCTGACAGATTTTTCCTTAGTTTTCTTGTCTCATTATTTCTACCAAGAAAAAAATGAGCCAAATAGACTGATCAGTAAAACCAGAACTTTTATATCACTGATGCTTTTGTCCCAAATATTACTTTATCTTTAAAAATCCTCAAGGCTAGTGACTTTTAAACACCTAGTGCTTTTTTCCTTTAAAAATATGTATTTCAACAGAACAAAAGAATTCATATATGCCTTTAAGTAAATACTGGCCTTCTAACAATCAAGACAGGCCAGGCTAGTCCTCAAATCTTTGGGAAACTATGAACTCAAAAGGGAACCAAATAAATCCAACAACTATAGTTTACATCTGCCCTTAGAATTGCTAATTTCTATACACTGGTTTAGTCAACAAAAAAGTAGCAACATTTAAATCCTAAAGCAATGGCTAAATGCCATACTGTACTTACCTCCAAATAGTTCCAAATCTCTTAAGCCCTCAACAATGAACTTTTCCGAGACCCACCGCTAAAGAGGAAAACCCCAAAGAGAATTAGTATTTCGTCCAAGCCACAATAAATTAGCTCTCAACCTTTAGACAGACAAAAACACAACCATGAAAATAGAATCATGCAGTACATTGGGATACGTTTCTTTCTTTTCTTTTTGAGTCAGGGTCTCACTCTGCTGCCCAGGCTGGAGTGCAGTGGCTTGATCACAGCTACCCCAGCCTCGACCTGCTGGGCTCCGGCGATCCTTCCGCCTCAGCCTTCCGAGTAGCTGGAACTACAGGCACGCACTACCACGCCCGGCTAATTTTTTTGATTTATTGTAGAGATGAGGTCTCACCAAGTTGCCCAGGCGGATCTTGAACCCACGGGCTCAGACAATCCACTCACCTCGGCCTCCCAAAGCGCGGGATTATAGGCTGAGCCACCAAGCCCGGCTTATATTTAATATTTAAAGACAGTCGCATACTCATAATGTCTCACAGCACTTACATACTGTTACAAAATTTTAAAATAGTTACTACTGTATTTAGAAATAAGTACTTGATAATAAAATAAGATACTCTTTTATGAAATCATGGAAGCTTATAAGAAGGCTAAATCTAGGATTTATTCTTGAGGTCATTTCAGTTAATGAAGCTTTGAGGTGCAATTAAATCTTTCGTGTTCAAAAAAGTCTTCAACTAAAATGAATAATCATACTTAGAAAAAAGTGCTCCAGTAATTACAACTTGATACTGATTTTGAAAACACACAAACCCATGGAGAGATCACAAGCAGAGGCATATCTACAAACGAGAAGAGCAGGAGCTCATTTAATGTTGTGTGACATTCATAACACAGCTGCCATCTTGCTGCTTCTCTATCGGACGGCTGGTGGTAAATTCTGCATCTCTGGCCCGCCTCTTTTCTCAGAAGCAGAGGCTGCAACATGGGCCCCACTTCCTGTATCTCACACTTCTGTGTGATTCTGAGCATCACCTAAAAAGTCACTGACAGTACCTGCCAAAGCACACTTTTCAGAAAAAAACAGTAAAGCCAGAAAAATGGAAAAACACTCACCCTAATTCGCTCTGGTTTACTTACAAGAAAAGACATGAGTTCCTATTGTGCAGACCTACTTCAATTTCAAAAACTTAAACCTAAAAAGAAAACAGAAACAGGCTGAGTTAGCAAAATCTCCTTCTGTAGAAACACCTTCTGATGAACACAAACTTACTATGAGTCTACCATACCAAGCACTCTGCTACACCTATGCATTGCTAGATTTCCAAAACCTGTTTAGAGAAGCTTTCAGTGATGATAAACCTGGCAAGTACATTCTGAAATCCTATAATTTCTATTAAAAGAGAGAGGTTAGCCGGGCTCGGTGGCTCAGCCTGTCATCCCGTGCCTTTGGGAGGCTGAGGTGAGTGGATGGCCTGAGCCCGCGGGTTCGAGACCCGCCTGGGCAGCGAGACCTCATCTCTACAATAAATCAAAAAATCAGCCGGGCGTGGTAGTGCATGCCTGTAATTCCGGCTACTTGGAAGGCTGAGGCGGAAGGATCGCCGGAGCCCAGCAGTTCGAGGCTGCGGTGGCTGGGAGCAGCCACTACACTCTAGTCTGGGCGACAGAGTGAGACTGCAACTCAAAAAAAACAAAAGAGAGATTTGTTATTATATGCGTTTCTTTAAGTGAATTCCTAAATTTCTCTTAACTCAGTCCTCCACTGGCCCTTTCATAGAAGCAATTGCCTTCTATTCTTTTGGATGTTTATTCTGCTTTTTGATTATTCTTTTTTTTTTTTTTTTGAGTCGGAGTCCCACTCTCTTGTCCAGGCTGAAGGGCAGTGGTACACTCACGGCCACCGCAGTCTTGACCCACTGTGCTCAGGCAATCCTTCTGCCTCAGCCTTCGAGTAGCTGGCATCACTGGCGTGTGTACCACACCTAGCTCACTTTTTGATTTATTGTAGAGACGAGGTCTCGTCATGCTGTCCAGGCTAGTCTTGAACCCCTGGACTCAGGCAATCCTCTCGCCTCTGCCTCCCAAGTGCTGGGATTACAGGCATGAGCCACCGTGCCTGGCTTATTATTCTTAAACAATGTTTAAGTGACTAGAACTTGCTTTTAGGTAGGCCTTTACCTATTAACTTCCTACCAGGGCAGATGGTGGGACGCTTTCCTACAGCACCTCCTTCCACTCCATGTCCTGCCCCATTCTCCCAACATAGTGCAAATTTTTGGTTAAATCAGTAGTCCACAATTACATTTCTATTGTTCATAGCTGAGGAAAACAGAGGCGACCACATCCCCTTTCTTGTACATCCCCTTTTTTCTAGTTAACAATCGCCTCATTTGTTCACTTGCGTGGTTTCCCATATAGCTGTTATTAGCTTTGCAGGTTATTACCTATGTGGGTTTCTCTATTAGAAGATGAGAATGCCTGTTTTTCAGTTCTTCCCTGGGAAAGCATACAGCCAGCATCTCTGCTATTTGCCTTGCCCATGTGTTTTTCCATACTCTCAAACCCCCCCAATCCAGCTTTCTCCTGAAGACTGTCCTCTCAGGCCACCTGTGTCTCGCTGCTGTCTGGACTAGAGGCTTTCTAGGCTAACCGCACTTAGTTGCCTTTTCTAATATGGAGAGTTGGGTCCTCTGATTTTGGAAAATATTATCTGATTTCTTTCATAATTTTGTCTCCTCCATTTTCTCTCTGCTCTTCTGACTGGGTTTTGGGGCAGTTCCTCAAGTGTATATCTCATTAAAAATCTCAAGTTAAATACATAGTAAGAATCTTAAGAATATGCATATACCTTGCTGTTTTTCCACTTTTAAGAATCTGCTCTAGGGAAAGTATATCTAGAAATTTGATTACAAGGATATTTTTTAGTGTCACTGTTATGGCAACCAGTAGCCAAACGCAGTTATTTAAATTTATGTTTAAATTACTAATAAATAAAATTAAAATTTCAGTTCTTCAGTCATATGATCAACATTTCAAGTGCTTAGGAGCCACAGAGTCCTTTCTCTCTCTCTTTTTTTAATTTTCCCTTTGTTTTTTTCTTCTGAGTCAGAGTCTCACTCTGTTGCCCAGGCTGAATTCAGCAGCAAGCTCATGGCCGCCGCCGTCTTGACTTGCTGGGCTCAGGCAATCCTTCCACCTCAACCATCTCTTTTTTTATTATTTATTTATTTTTATCTCTTGTTTAAGTTGGAGTCTCACTCTTGTCGCCCCGACTGGAGTGCAGTGGCACGCTCATGGCCACCACAGCCTCGACCTGCTGGGTTTAGGCGATCCTTCCGCCACAGGCTTCCAAGTAGCTGGAACTACAGATGCATGCCACCACACCTGGCTAGTTTTTGTGATTTATTGTAGAGACGAGGTCTCACCAAGTTGCCCAGGCTGGTCTCTAACCCCTAGGCTCAGGCAATCCTCTCATCTCGGTTTCCCAAAGTGCTGGGATTACACGCTGAGCCACGGCTCCCAGCCTCTCTTTTTTGAGTCAGGGCCACATCCTTCTGTTACCCAGGTTGTAGTACAGTGGTATGATCATGGCTCACCACAGCCTCGACATCCTGGGCTCAAGTAATCCTCCTGCCTCAGCCTCCCAAGTAGCTGGGATTACAGGCATGTGCCCCCATGCCTGGTTAACTGTTTAATTTTTTTGTAGAGACAAAGTCTCACTAAGTTGCCCAGGTTGTTCTTGAATTCCTGTGCTCAAGCAATCCTTCTGCCTTGGCCTTCCAAAGTGCTGGGATTATAAGTATGAGCCACCACGTCCAACCAAGATTCATTTGCCTTTTTTTTTTTTTATAGATACAGGGTCTCAGCCAGGTGTGGTGTGCCCGGTCTCAGTTTCTTTATTACGAGATGAGAATGCCTATTTTTCAGTTCTTTCCTGGGAAAGCATATAGCCAGCTGAATGCCTACACAGTTTATCTCTTTGGAAATTCTTAATTGATCTGTACAGACCTATTAAAATTTATGTTAAATAATCTCAATGGGCAAAGTCACCTAATTTAGATGGACATTCGGAAGGATTCCTTCTTGAAGGAAAAACTGAAAGTAGCACTTCTCAAGATTAGGTGTGCTGGTGACACACCATTTGTGGAGTAACAAGCCATTCAAGATTCTGACAAAAAACTTATTTTGAATCTAGAGTTTTATGCTTAAATGAAGTACCAATAAAGTGTTAAGAACAAAATGATTTCTGACATGAAAAAAGTAAAACAAAAATTACTTCCCGTGTATGTTTTTAAGTGAAACTACTTGAGAATGTACTCCAGAAAAATGAGGCTAAGATCTAAAAAGGAGGATATGACATACAAAAGACAGTATGTCCTCTGAAATTGCATGATGATTATGAAGCAGATCAAGAAAGGAATTTGTCAAAATTAGAACATGAAATTGGTGAGCTAAAGAAAATAAGATGCTTTCATAAAATATACAGAAGTAATATAAAAGGTGAAAAATATCAGGGAGAGGGTAGAACGTGGACTGTTTCTTTTCCAAAAAAGAAAACAGAAAGGCAACCAAAAACTCCAACAAAAATTAAAAACTGTATTTAAAAAGTCAAAGATTCTAGGACAGGCTCGGTGGCTCAACCTGTAATCCCAGCACTTTGGGAGGCCGAGGCGAGTGACTGCCTCAGCCTGCAGGTTTGAGACCAGCCTGGGCAACTTGGTAAGACCTCATCTCTACAATAAAATAAAAATACCCGGGCATGGTAGCACACGTCTGTAGTTCTGGCTCGGAAAGTTGAGGTGGAAGGATTGCTGGAACCCCGGTTGATCCTGGGATGGCCGTGAGAGTGCGTGCCACTGCACTCCGGCCTGGGCGATGGAGACTCCAACTCAAAAAAAAAAAAAAAAAAAGCTGGGCTCGGTGGCTCAGCCTGTAATCCCGCACCTTGGGAGGCTGAGGTGAGCGGATTGCCTGAGCCCACGGGTTCATGACCCGCCTGGGCAACTTGGTGAGACCTCATCTCTACAACAAATCAAAAAATTAGCCGGTCATGGTAGCGCATGCCTGTAATTCCAGCTACTTGGAAGGCTGAGGCGGAAGGATCGCCGGAGCCCAGCAGATCGAGGCTGCAGTGGCCTGGGCGACAGAGTGAGACTCGGACTCAAAAAAAAAGAAAAAGTCAAAGTCTGAATTTGAAACAAACGTGGCATAACTTTGAGAAGTTTGGCAATTAAAGTGAGAAAGAAAAATCCACTTGACCTTGAACGAAAAGGCAGTTAAGACACTGGAACTATAGTGAAGCATAACGCCTTGTTGGTGACTACAACGATAACGGCTTGTTATTAGTGTTCAAGGGTTAGGACTGTAGACAAAGCATACTAATTATTCGGAGCAAATCTGATAATATGAAGGTAAAGGTTTGGCTGAAAGATGGGAGATGGAAAGCGAAGAGGCAGGAATGACTGGCAAGCTAAAATCCCTATCTTCCCAACAGGGTAAAGATCATGCTGAAAGTTCACAGGATAATGGAGACTTATGTATAATATTTAAGGTTACAAAGGCAAAAAAGGTAACCAGTAGAAGAACTAAAGATAGAACTCCTCCATTAAATTGGGAGGGGGCAAGGTGAAGGCCATGTGAGATCTGGCATTACCATTACCCTCTGGGAAGATAAGGATAAGCTTCCCTAGTCATTTCTGTCTCCTGTCAGAGTGAAAAGTCTAAACGTGTTTAAAATTACAGAAGTCCATCACTGAGAACTAAAACCAGAGCAGACACAGGGATGGGAGAGGGAGAGCCGAGAGATGGTTGCTTTTCATTATAAGTCCCTTATTCCACCATTACTACCATTATTTTAATAACTGCATGCAGGTATTTTCTTTAAATTTTGTCAATTAATAAAAAAGATATTCATCTTAGACGGTTTAGAAGAGCTCCACCTAGTGATTAGGGGTAAACATTACATAAATCCTAGAAGACTTTTAGTTTCAGATTGAATTGTGTACAATTGAACTTTGTATGACATCAGAATCACTGCCTTTGTATGACACTAAAATGCTGCCTTCAAATTTCCTCAAAATTAAATTCAAAGTGGAAGGAGAGGACAGATGTATATCACTCACAAGATATATCCACATTTACCAAGAATATTAATAGCACATATACATTAGCAAAGCCATATTACTAGTGGACAGA